AGCACTCGGGAGGTAGAGACAGGCAGATCTCTGAGTTCGAGGCCAGCCTGGTCTATAGAGTGCCAGGACAGCCAAGGCTACACAGAGAAATCCTGTCTCAAAAAAAAAAAAGTCTAAGAAATGGTGGGCATGAGTTTGGAATACAAAGACTCAGACTTAATTATAACAGATGAAAGTTTCACAGCAAAATGTTTTGTTGCGAACTTTCCCAAACTTGGAGACAAGGAGGTTTCTACTGCCTCTCAGAGAAACTACAAGACTAGAAGAATTGTTTCTGGGTTCAGAAGAAAACTGATTCCAAGCTTGGTTCTGTAGCCAGGTAAACTTTTTACTAAATGAGGGGGAGAAAAGGGAAGTCAGCACGCAAGATTCCCCAAATGCTGAGTTCTCTTCTGCTCCTCTCCAGAGCCTAAGCCAAGTAAGATGACCAGAGAAGCCAGAAACAAGAGGCCCGCCCTAGGAAAGGATACAAAACGGGGTGACTAAGAACTCCAGGAGACCGGTGAGTTGTAGTATGAACTGAAGGCAACAACCATGCATCTCTTCTAACGGTCGGACATAGAGGTCACCAAAGGAACCACATTCCTATGGTGACACTGGCAAGTGCCTAAGACCCATGTGGAGGCACCGAAGCACAGTCCTAGTCATTAGCAACAGGGCACGCTCTGAGAAGTGTATCCTCAGGTGGTTTAGTTACACTAACTGTGCAGGATGCACACCAGGATGTTCTAGGCTACTGTCTCAACACAGACCACCGTAAACACAAGAAATGTATCCACTATGCTGTTCGACAGCATTTTTCTTTAATCGGTGGACAGACTTGCTAAGTGCACAGGCTGGCATGTCAGCAGGCACTGTGGCACTGCTCTGGGAGTAGCTGCCTGCGCTGTGGTTCTTGTCTGGTTTGTTTTCACAGCAGCATCATGAACACGTGAGCTATGCTTTGCAGTGCCTGTCCCAGTGGGCTCTGATGGCACTCGGTGACAGGAATGTTTCAGCTCCTTTAGAATCTCCTTTCATGCGGCACAGTACTCTACACTCCTCACTGCGTGGCCGCCCTGAGGCTGAGCACCGGGCAGATCATTTGGAGTGCTCTGCTTGACAGTGACTGGCCGATCAGGAGGTCCCAACAGGTTTCTCTGAGGAGTTAACGTCGAGCTCTGAGTGGTGAGATGAGGCGGTGGCTGGCGCAAGGGTCTTAGTGTAAAGTATCCTAGAAGCAGATACAAAGGCCCCAGGCTGGGAGGCAATTCACTGTGTCAAGAAACGAGGAAGGGCTGGGCGGTGGTGGTGCACGCCTTTCATCCCAGCACTCGGGAGGCAGAGGCAGGCGGATCTCTGTGAGTTAGAGGCCAGCCTGGTCTACAAGAGCAAGTTCCAGGACAGCCTCCAAAGCCACAGAGAAACCCTGTCTCAAAAAAACAAAACAAAAACAAAACAACAAAAGAAAGGAGGAAAGAGGGAAGGAACAGGGAGTTAGGAGACAGGCGGGGCACGGGCTGGGTCAGAAGGGTTGTGGGAGCGTGGTGACACGGGAACAGGTGGCAAGAGGCTTGGGGAGTTCTAAACAGGTGTTTGCTTTGATCTTGCTTTCTTGGCATCACTGTCAATGTCCTGGGACTAAGTGACTGCCTGCTTTCCACACCCTGCTGTCTCACTAGACAAAGGGTTCGGCTGAAAACTACACTTCCCAGCCCCCTTTGCAACTAAGTGTGGTCAATGCAGTAAATTTTGGCCAATGAGATGTAAGCAAATTCATGCCACTCTTCCGGGCAGCTGCCTTTAAGAGAAGGAACTGGAGCCCCTTTTGTGCCTCTGTTTGTCTCCTCCCCGTCTGGCATGGTGACTGGAAGTCCAACAGCCGGATGCTGGGGTGGAGGTCACCTGCTAGGAAGGAATAACAGAGACGTGGGCTTTGGAGCCCTGGGGCTAGAGAAATAAGAGCTGTGAGAGCTAACCACCGCCCGCCTTGACTCCCAAAACTCTTCAGTTCTAACAGTCACCTGGCAGCAGGCGGTGGGAGCCACAGATAGTTCAGGAGAATCAGCTAAGCTGTTCTTTTCCTCTTTTGCACGCGGGCGTTAGCCAGCTCGGGGTCCCGCTGCCTTCTGGATTCAGAGTGTGGCGAGAGGCATGGTTGGCGTAGGGAAGGACTAGGGAAAGAGCCCCGCATCCTTCCCTGGCGTGGCTACGTGCAGAGTAGCAGAGTAAACCAAATCGTCTTCGGGCTTGAACTTCACAATTTGGCACCTGGAACTACCAGGCTATGCTTTTTACACACACAGACTTCTGACTCCAGAGGGGGGATTTGCAAACTCAGTGTTCTCAGAATAGCTGAGGGTGGCCTGAAGGGGCCAGTCTACTAAAAGCAGGGGAAATGAGTCCTCAGGCCAAATGTGGTAACTTATGCTGCTAATCTCTGCACTAGGCAGAAAGGAGCTAAGAGGTCATCCTGGGATATACAGTGACCCCCAAGACAGCCTGGGGGAATAGTATGAGACCTACCTTTGAAAACTGAAAGGATCGCCTGAGCATGGTGGCGCACGCCTTTAATCCCAGCACTAGGGAGGCAGAGGCAGGCGGATCTCTGTGAGTTCAAGGCCAGACTGGTCTACAAAATGAGTTCCAGGTTTAAAAAAAAAAAAAAAGAAAGAAAGACAAGCGGGCACCCTCTCTTGAAGCCCAGAGCCAACCAAGCTCCCAGCCCCACCCCCTCCTCGGGGGTCCTTTCTCCCAGGATACCCCAAGACAAGAAGATCAGTCTCCCAGCAGAGGCTGCTCCGCCACCTCCATGCAGTCCAACCCCCCCCCCACTCTCTCACTTCACCACACACAGAATTTTCTGTCACTTCCTACCCACTTTCTCCAGCCAAAAGAACATTCTGGTGTTTTTTATGTAAATTAGATCACAGATCACAGTCTCCATCTTGGAGCCTTCCAGTGACTTCCCAGGCCAATTCAGAATGAAGCCCAGGTGCCTTCAGAGCCCTCGTTCTGTCTGTCCCACTTCCCCAGCCCCTCCCACAACATTCCATCATGGCTCCCGCCCCCTGCTGTGTCTCTCTGGTTGGCATGGTCTTCTCTGATGGAGGCACTCCCCATCACCTTGAGTCCTTCCTGCTCCTCATTCTGCATGTTGGTTGGTACCAGCCTGATGCTGTCTTGACCACTTACCTGCCCACCTATCTGATGGCTGTGATCTTGTGTCCCTACTTGTGGGCTGGATGCTGAGGAAGGTACTTAGACCATGATTTTTGTAAAGAAAGCATTGAGAGACCAGAAGGCTTGCTTAGGGAAGTTCTCTGAAGAACTTCAATTTTCCCAAGTCCAAGATTTGGTTGGCCAAGGGATGCTCTGTGTTCCAGGTGCATGGAACTCCTCACTGCCCAGCCAGATGGCCCCTGGAGGCCTCACTACAGGTGAGTGGTCCTCTGCAGCTCTCTGAAGCTCTTCACAGTCTCCTAAGACTCTTCAGGGAACCAAAACTGATTAGAAGCAGGCCCATCCTATGCAGACTGTATACTAAATATTAGCTAACAACAACAATAATAATAATTTTGCCAATATCTCCCGTGCTGCCACGGTGAAGTGTCAGAATCGTAATTATGGACTGATTTTTTTAAAGGCAACACTTGGATTGTTTTAACACCTCATCCTCTGACTCACTAGTGGATGTGTGCTCCGGGGCAGGGAACCCTGCTCTTCAAACCCTGGCATTTTACCGTACAGGGGCAGCCTGCTTCACACTGAATTCAGGCCCTTCCTCTTGAGTCCGGCAGATGAGGGGGTGCCTGATTCACCTCTAGGAGGGAGTTCCCTTTTATTCATTTACCCAGAAAATCCTTCCTGGGCTCCTGCTGCAGGCGAACCTGTACTCAGAGCTGCAGATGCCCAGAAAGAGCACAGCCAGCCTTGACAGAGTCCGCTCGGACGCAGTGGGGTCTGCCAACAAACAAACAAGACCCAGGGAAGGATGGAAAGATGCCACAGGGGACTTGCTGGGGTGAGCAGAGAGCCCGCAGTCTGGGAAACGCAGCTTCCCAGACCCGCACGGACCTATCCGAACCCTGGACTTTCTAGCCCGTTCAGCCGTTTCCTTCGACCCTTCCAGAAGATCTAGATGCATACCTCAGCAGTGTCTTAGCTGGCATCTAAATGACAAGGAGAGTATCACAGACAGAGGGATGGCTCATTGGGACCCTGGGCCAGCAAGCAGAGCGGTGAGGCCAGGGGCTTGCAGCCCAGGGCTCAGGAGCTGACTGGCCCTGTTTACAGGGGCTTGGAGGGCCCCTGGGTCCTTTTCCAGGTGCCTGCCTCTTATCCAGCCGGCCCTCTGGAGGGACTGGCTGCATGCCCCAGCTCCACCCTTCCTTTCAGGGAAGAAGTAGGGACTGGTGGGTACCTCCTATCCCACCCCTCAGGTTAGTGTACAACTGGGCACACTGGTCATGTGTCTCTTAGCTGGGATGGTAGTGGGCGGCTGGGAGAGAAGCTTCCATTCCTAGAGCGAGGGATGCAGGCGTGGAAGCAGCATGGATGACAGGCTGGGAGGGGAAGGCCAGGGGTGTCCAGGAAGGGCCAGCCATGAGCTGGAGCAAGGGCTACTCCTGCCAGGCAGCAGCTCCGAAAACCAAGTCCTAAGGAACTTGGAATATCTGTGCTGTTGCTCTCTCCCAACATCTGGGGGAACATGAGATGCCCAGCCCCCCCATGCCCCCCTCCACTCCTGCTCTACCCATCCTGCTGCGTCCAGCAGTGTGTCTGAAGTTCGTGGCCATGGTGGTGGTATGGAGCCCAGGGGACAGGAAATGACCTCTGGGGATCCTGTGGGACGTTTCTGTCACAGGCCAGTGCACGCAGCAGCAGGTCAGCCCCCATAGCGAATTGCTTCGTGCCTTGGTTCTGTCTGCACAAGCGCAGCTCTTACCCGGAAGGGCGTGAGAACACATTTATTCTAGAACCAAATACAAAGGAACATGGCCAGGAGCACAGATTCGGGATGTCCTGAATACTGTGACCCAATGTGCTGCCAGTTACATGAAGTTTTTATAAGTATAAAATCAAAGGGTAAAACAAAACAAAACAAAGGAAGTCTCGAGTCCAAACGTCTCAAACACGCTGGTGGCAACGGCAGGCAAGCGGCCTCAGGACAGCCGCGAAGCCTCTGCTAGAGCCACAGACGTCATCTGACAACATTCTCAGCTTTGGGGTTGGTAGCGGCTGTTAAGTCAGCGAAGTCCAAAGGCTTCATCTGACAGGCATGGGATGCAAGAGTGACTATTGAGGCTGAAGAGACCCCAAGATCACTTGACTCGGGATCAATAGTCCAACTCATGGTAATTTCAGCGGTTCTCCTTAGTCCATCGCCCTTACGGAATCTTGACGGTGTGGCTTTCCTAGGACTTGAGCTCCCAGCGGTAAACTAGAGTGCCGCAAACAAGCCACAAGCTTCAGAGCAGGACACACAGCGCAAGAGGGGCTGACAGCTTCAGAAACTGAGAGCAGCATCGGGAGTCTGCAAGGCCCTTGAGGCCTGAAGCTTCCCGTTTTCATTGTGTTTCTTGAGTGCCTCTATGTGCTGGTGTTCACGCTAGGCTGAGGGTCTCATATCTTCGACGCCAACAAGAACCTGCTTCCCTGGAACATATGACTGATAGGGTGGGGCTCGTCAGCAGGGACTTTTCTGGAGGGGCTCTGGATCACAGGACGGGTGTTGGTGTTGGGGCTCTTTCAGGGAAGGTTTCGTTTTCCCCATTTTCTCATATATTTATTTTTTATAATTTAATTAAAATATAGTTGCATAATTTCTCCCCCTCCTCCCTGCAACTCCTCCCAGGTCCAACCTCCTTCCTCCCATACTCCCCTTTGACCACTGCTGTTACACATTTATACACACGAATCGACACATAAATATAACCCACCGAGCCCATTCAGTACCTGTTTGTGCGTGTGTGTGTGTGTGTGTGTGTGTGTGTGTGTGTGTGTGTGTGTAAGTTCCTAGGACAAAGGAGCCAACTTTGGGCTAAGATGTGAATGGCCGGAGGAGCCAAGAACGCTGTAGGAAGACGGACGATCAGTTCGGAAACAGAGGGAAGAAAGTCCCTTAAAGCGCACGGGGAGCCAGACCCTGTCTCTTTTTCTCAGAAAAAGCCCAAGCAGTCATCCATGGAAGGTTTCCCTCCCACTCATGTAGCTCTCTGGCTTCCTAAAACTCATATGTAGACCTTGAAACTTACAACAATCCTCCTGCCTCAGTCTTCAGAATGATGAAATTAAAAGCATGAGTCAAAATATCTGGTAGAAGAGTACACTCTTTGCAGGGCAGTAGTAGTGCAAGTCCTCGGGAGGCAGAGGCAGGTGGAACTCTGTGAGTTCGAGACCAGCCTGGTCCACAGAGTGAGTTCCAGGATAGCCAGGGCTACACAGAGAAACCCTGAAAGAGTATATATACTTTTCTGTTTTGTCTTGTGTTTTTTCTGGGGCTGAGGATTGAACCCAGGGCTCACATATGCTAGACACGTGCTCTGCAACAGAGCAACAGCAACCCACCAGAAAAGAGCCAGCCAGATAGAAGCAGTGTGAGGCAGTCATGTGTAACTCACTACCCTTCAGTCTTCAACTGGCAGTGGACCACACACAGTGGCAGTCCCGTAAGATCGTGTGGCCTTCTGACAGTGTCGAAGCCCTGGGCTCTGTAATGTATTCTGATGTTCACCCTGCGACAAAACACATTGGCAGAACGGATCCCCACTGTTTAGTGATATATTACTGTTTCCCTGGAGTTCACTTCGGGAGATAGTGTTCTGTTGGGAAAGGGAACACAGGGAGAGATGTAAAGCCAGGGATTCCAGAGCCAGGCGGAGGGGTGTGTGTGTGCCAAACTCCATCACTCACCAGCTGAGCAACCTGAGCACACAGCTTCACTGTTTCTGGGCCTCTGCTCTCGCCCCTTGCATGTCCGAGTCTAATTCTGAGCACAGAGTCTGGAGCAGGCGGGGACTCCACCACAGACGCACTCGATGTTAGTCCTGCAGTGATTATCAGGCATGTATTAACCCCAAGCAAAGGGAAACAGCCCAAGCTCTGTGCCTGCAGGGGAAGTGTTTGTGAAGAGGATTGTGATAATGTAGCGCTGGGATTCAGCTGGGGTCAGGGCCACCCCAGGCTGTCATCTATATTTGTCCAATCTCCAGGCCGTCTTCTCCCATCAAGGTCCCTTCTCTTAGTCCCTCAATGACGGGAACACACCGAGGAGCCAGGTCTGGCCCACCTGTGCCAATCCGACCCCTCCAGAGTGGACTGTTCAGAAATTGGTCGAGAAGCCTAGAAAGAGAACAGAGAGAGACATGGTCTGATGACAACTTCAGAGGCCCTGGAACCACTCAGCCCCGATGCCACAGCAAGACCAGTGGCTTTTACTATCGTGAGACAGCTGTCTTTGGCTCTTGCCAATTCTAATAGAGTTTCTGTCGCCTGCAGCCAGAGTCTCAACAGCTACACAGTTTTGATTACAATCACAGAACTCACATGTCCATGGGGCCTGTGATCGGTGACCAGGGAAGGATGGGCAAAGAAACGATAAGATATGTGTTCATTGTCTGCCCCCTTTATCCCTGGAGAACTCTAAGCTTTCCCAGCCATGCAGTTGGGTAGGATGCAATTTCAGAGTTGGTCAGCCAGGATTTCCCATCTTCCCTTGCACCGTGATAGGTTAATTAACACAGGAACACATGACCCAGTGAGATTCCATGCTGCAGTTTTAATTCAGTTTTGAGACTTTTTCTCAACTAGGCACAAACAGGTGGCTTTAGAAGGTTCTGGCAGCCATCGTGCTGTGAGGGGAAAGCCTGCAAAGGACAGAACCTGCTCCAGTGTATGTCCAAAAAACAGGAAGACTGGTCTCACCACTGGAGTGCGGATCGAGTCACGTGTGAAGGAAGAGACACCCCCAAAGGTCCAGCTGCCTGAGCCAGAGAAGGCCATTTGGACTCAGACTCCTGGCTTCGCTTTTTGTCGCATGTAAGAAAGAATCCTGTGTGTCTCCCATAGCACATAGGAGAGGCACCTGTCCCCACCATCCGAGGCCTGTGTGCGCCACTCTCTTGGAATTCACTTTGGTTTCTCTCAAGTTCCTGGACATCCAAATGCAGGGGCCTCTCAGAATTCTCCAGTCTAAGATGCTTGAGTGGCTGGGGATTGATGAAGCCTGTCTGGTACACAGGCTAGAGCAAGCCGGAGCTCCAGACACCCCGGAGACGGCAATAACTCAGCCCGGACCCACCTCTGCCCTTCCGTCTGCCCATCTTGAGCAAGGACAGCCATCAATCCCACTTATCAGACCTCCTATTTCACCCTCTGCTCAGCTGTCACAGGTGTCACTCAGTACTCTTAACAGAGTTATGAGCGATTGAGTGCCCGGGACTGGGCCGGCTGAAGGATTCATGGGTGCGCGTCTCTCCATTCATCAGAAAGAGCTTTAGTTAGCTTTGGGGCTGCCAGTGGGGGGCTGGAGGAGGCTTCTCTGTCAATAACCAGAATGTCAAAGTCACGGAGAGGAGAGAGGTGACAATGCTGGAGACTTCTGAGTAGCGGTGAGAACCACCATCAGGCTACAAGGCAGGCACCGGGCCCGGTTCTGGAAGCTGTGGGTACACTCCGAGGTCAGATAAGCAGTTTACTCAATACTTGTGGCACAAGACCAGATAAAGCTGGAAGATAAGGAGACCGGCTTGTCCCCCAGGCACTCCAAAGAATGTTAAAATTTTATGTCACACACGTCTCTACACAGCTTATTACAGCTACCATGAACCAGTTTACAGAGCCCTCCCTCCATGCCTGCTGTCCTTCCCTCTGCCACCACACTCAAGCTCACACCTGTCTCAGGACATGCCCCAGAGCCTTGCGTGTCCGGATTCCCTTCCATGCTTAGCTCAGCCCCAAAGGCAGGGAGCTCGTCTTCCTTGGCCCTCACGGCTGTCTGTCTGTCACATGGTCTTCCCTGGCCCTCACGGCTGTCTGTCTGTCACATGGTCTTCCCTGGCCCTCACGGCTGTCTGTCTGTCACATGGTCTTCCCTGGCCCTCACGGCTGTCTGTCTGTCACATGGTCTTCCCTGGCCCTCACGGCTGTCTGTCTGTCTGTCTGCCTGCCACAAGGCTCCATTTCATTTCCTTCCTTCACCTTGCCCAAATATGTCTCACTTTTTCCACCTTTACTTGAAAAGGACCTGCCAAGAAGTCTGCTGCCTGGAGGCTGGGTTCTGTTTGTCCTCCATACTGGGGAGGTGCTTTACTGGGTACCGTAGACACAAAAGAAAGAGAGGTTACCCACACAAACTGCTGCCCAACTGGGTACTTCACAGCCTGGCACCGAGCCTGAGTGTGTGGAGCGAAGCCTGAGCTCTGGGCTTCTATCAAGGGTCCTGAGGCTCAGAGCAACCCATGTCCCACCCTCCCAAAAGCCTCTCTTAGAAACGGGGCGGGGGGGGTGTTGGCATGGCGTGTACAGTGGCAAGCGATATTGGTTCTGGGAGGAAAGACTGTTTTGTGAAACCAGAAGGTTGCCATGGTAACACTTCTTTATGCAACAAAGACCCCCCCCCTTAAAGTTAGAGCAGAGAGGGCCCAAGTCAATGGATATTGACCAATAGCAGTGGGTCCTTTGGCTGTGCACACTGAAGGACTTTCAAGTCACCCCTGCCTGTCCTTCGGCTTGATCTGGTAACTCCCCCCGTCCCTCTACTAGCAACTTCGATTGTCCTCAGCCTGCTCCCAACTGAGAAGCCGGCAGCACTCATCCTGGGCCATGAAGGATAGGAGCTAAAGAGGGTCAAGGGTCACCCAGGCTTAGGGAGCTATCCTGGGTGGGGTGTGGCACTCACACAGGAACTAAGCACACCGCAGTGCACACTTGCTTGGACAAGTTAGTGACATCAGTGCTCACCTAGCCACGGGGGCTGTGTGCAGCTGTCTGCCCATCCCACAAGGCTCAGGGATCGTGGCAAGGGTTTAACTCAGACAGCCCACGCGCAGAATTCGAGCTTGTAACCACACTGCCATCCCTGCAATCCTCAGCGCAAACAGACGTGGCCGCTGCCGGCCGCTGCCTTTGCTGTGGCTCAGCCGTGTGGCCACCTGAGTCCCTTTGTTGTCTCACACAGGGAAATGAGGTTTGCGGGGGGGGGAGACCATGACCCAAGTGGCAAATATGGGACCTGCACACCTGCCCAGAGTCCAAGTTCATGCCCTAACATCAATGGAGCCTGGGCATGCACTGCCAAGACGGTCTTCCCTGCCTAACCACTCTAAGCAGTCATGGAGCTAGGGGAACAGAAGCTGCACCTCGGGACCAGGGGAGTTGCTAAGAGAGCTTTTAGGAACCAATCCGTGACCTGAGGAAACAACTCAGAAAGCCAAAACAGAAAACAACCACTGGGTGACGTGTCGTGCCTGAGAGCCAGCCACGCTGTACTCCCCACTGTAGAGCGTGCACGCGTGTGCACATGAGCACACACACATACACACACCCACACAGGCCAACACACACACACACACACACACACACACACACACACACGCATGCCAACACACGCGCACACACACGTGTCAACAGCTTCAATGCCGCCGCCCTACATCACTGTCAGGAAAAACTTCTCAGGCTATAAAGATGGCACCGAAAAGATAAAAGGACACCAGTCCACCAGACAAGCACCACTCGCCAGGCCAAGAAGCATCACTGGGGTTTGGTCCCCTGTGTTTTTTGTCTTCTGAACCAGGCAGGGCTGGTACTGTCTACACCACCATGGCTTTCAGAGCCCAAGCAACCGCTTTTCCCGTCCACACATGTTCCCTTCCATGTTCTGCCTGGCCCTGAAGCCCCGGGAGCCTGGGCTTGCCACCAACATGGAGGAAAGCAGTCAGCCATTCTTCTCCGGGGGCGCTGGGACTCCCTAGACTGAGATTTGTCTTTGCTGTCACCTCTGTGTTCTGTCTCCATCCTCAAGGTCCAGTGAGGAGCAGGAGCAGGGAAAGGGGCTGTGCCGTATCCTCTCTCACCCTCACGATGAATGCAGCTCTCTCACCCTCACGATGAATGCAGCTGAGCTTCCGCCTCGCCACACCCCAAAGCCTGGCCAGGCTCCTTAGCCACCTGAACTAGCAGAGTTTTCGCGGTTGCTGGTGTTTCAAAGCTGACAGTTCCACATTTACCTATGTATTTGGGGTGGAATGGAAGGCACGGCCGACAAGGGTCTGCTCTCTCCTTCCACTCTGTGGCTTTGGATTGAACTAAGGGTATCGGGCTTGGTGACAAGCGCCTTTACCCACGGAGTCGTCTCGCTGGCCTACGTTTTTTTAAAGTTTTATGTGGCACTGAGTTAAGCAGTAAATCAGGACTGGAAGAAACATCAAGAAACTTGGTGCTTGTGAAGGAGACAGGGAGGGATGGGGTAAGGGTCAGATGGAGGTACAATCTGACCCTCCTTCCACCCTGTTCACCTCAGACTGCCCACACTTTTCTCTTCAGGTTCTTGGTGTCTTCTCATCCTGACCCTGCTACCTCCTCCATGGCTCCAAGCCCCACCCCGCATTTTCTTCAGCCCCGGGCAGAAGGCGGCTGCCACTCCACAGCCTGGACAGACAGTGCCCCCCTCAGGCCAACTTTAGCCCTGGACTGTGGCTCTTGGTGTGACAAAGACAAACACCCGTGGGAGAGATTAGGAGGACTTGGGCAAACCTCCACTGGCAACCCCAATTTCAGATTCGAACTCAGGTCTCCAGAGGTGAATGGGAAGAAAATGGCTAAATTAAAATGCTAATTACCATCTCCAGCTATTCGTTACCGGACAGTCACTTGTATCTATTATTAACAGCTTCCGCCACGGCCCTGGCTTGCCCAGAGACACCGATGACTTAAAGATTCAGGTGGAAGAGAAAATAGCATAGAGCACTACGCACACAGCGATGTCACCGTCACCTGGCTCTGCACACCTCCCAGAGAGACAAGCAGAGGAGCCTGCTGAGGAACTTAGGACTCCTCTAAGCAATCCCATGGAGCTCCTCCTAGGGTCCTCTCCAACTTGAAGTGGTTACATCAGACAGAGCAGGGTAATATAAACTCCATGTCTAAATGGATCTGCAGAGCACTCCACGGCTCTCCAGCACCTCCATACACCCCTCCTAATCACACTGTGTGTGTGTGTGTGTGTGTGTGAGAGAGAGAGAGAGAGAGAGAGAGAGAGAGAGAGAGAGAGAGAGAGAGAGAGATTGAAGATTGAAACTATGACTGCCCTGTTTTTATTAGCTAAACCTGGAGTTTGGGGAAGGAAGTTGGAGCTGTTGTGCCCTCTTTCCATGCAGGAAGAAGTCTAGGTAGAGTTCTATACTGAGTACACACACACACACACACACACACACACATATGCACACATGCATACCAGCTCCTAGAATGTGAGACTTTAGGAAGCAGGTTTGAAGGAGGGAGATGCTGATGAGGAAAAAGATGGCTCCTGTACGAACTGTGTGTGACAGACACTTAAGAGAACCACATCGCTCACCCGTGCCTGGGCCACCTCTCCACACTGACCTCCAGTAATGAAACAGAACTGGAGATACCTTGGGGCCTTGGCAACAACGATGAGGAGCCTGCCCAGGCCAAGGGCATAGGTGGCCAGGAGGCAGGAGTAACAGAAACACACAGGATAGAGGGGGTGAGAATTCCAGGATGGAGGATTCCGGCAGGCAGACAAGAAGGCAGAGCTGCCTGAGATCGCAGTCGTCAGCGAGGGCAAGGTGGGCGCCCCTCTCTGTGCTCGCAGGTAGCTTACAGAGGTTCCCTGCTCCGCGTCACCCTGGTGAGCTGTTGTCCCATCAACAGTGCTGCTCTGTAAGTCACCCCCATGCCACCCCCTGTGTGTCCAAGGAGCAGGGATGGGATCTGCCCTGGTGTTCCTGGAGCATGGTCCCACACACAGAGGTTTTTCTGTGGTTTCTTACAGAGTCAAGGTGATGCTGTCAGTGTCACAGACAAGGATGCTCCAGGGGCGGGAGGTGGTCCACCTACCCCTGGGAACCAGTTCTTAAGGGTTTGTGAGCCTGGTCATCACACAATGGGCAGTTTGAAGTTGACCGAGATGAGTGAGTGTACCAGAGAGTCCTCCACAAACTCCCAAGCATGGCTTTTTACCTGCTCCACCACTGGCTAGGGCACCAGTTCAACAGCCACACTTTAGATGAAATAGTACCTTCTATTAAAAAAAAAGATTTATTTTTAGCTGAGTGTGGTGGTGCACACCTTTAATCCCAGCACTCGGGAGGGAGAAGCAAGCAGAAGGCAGATTTCTGAGTTCAAGGCCAGCCTGGTCTACAGAGAGAGTCCCAGGACAGCCAAAGCTACACAGAGAAACCCTGTCTTGAAAAACAAAACAAGCAAAAACCAATCCAACCAAACAAAAGATTTCTTTTTGTTTTATGTGTAGGATTGTTTGCCTAAATGTATGTAGATGCACCCTATATGTGCCTAGTGCCTATAGAGGCCAGAAGAGGACATTGGATCCCCCAGGATCCAAAGTGTTACAGGTGGTTGTGAGCTGTACAGATGAGGGGACCGGAACCTGGTCCTCAGCAACAGCAGCTAGTGTTCCCAACTGTCGAGCCATCTCTCCAGCCCATGAAGTAATAATGTTTCTTCTCTTTTTGTTTGTTTGTTGTTGTTTGTTTTTTGAGACACGGTTTCTCTGTATTGATTTGGAGTCTGTCCTGGAACTCGCTCTGTAGACCAGGCTGGCTTTGAACTCACAGAGATCCTCCTGCCTCTGCCTCCCGAGTGCTGAGATTAAAGATGTGTGCCACCAAAGCCCGGCACAGTAATATGTTTTTAATCTCCAACTATTTTATATTTTAAATGTTTTACATTTAGGTGTGTGTGTGTGTGTGTGTGTCCTTGTGCCGCAGTGGACATATGAAGGAGACTAACTGTGTGAGTTGGTTCTCTCTCTCCATTATTTGGGTTTTGGAGATCACCAGTCTTGACGGCAAGTCCTTTTACTTGCTGAGCCATCTCAGCCAGCCTCAAACATTTTAAATACAGGGAGACATGGCTGGGCATGTATAGCCCAGTTAGGTGTGCTACACTGACCAGCTATAGGTGTGCTACACTGACCAGCTACAGGTGTGCTACACTGACCAGCTGCAGGTGTGCTACACTGACCAGCTGCAGGTGTGCTACACTGACCAGCTGCAGGTGTGCTATGGTTGCACACTCCTCTACTCCTAGCACTCTGGAGATAGAGGCAGGACTAGAAAACCAAAGTCATCCTTGGCTACATATGAAGTTTGAAGCTGGCTTGGGTCACGTGAGAGCCCCCATCTCAAGACAAAACGGGGGGAGTGTGACTTCCACACTCAATCCACGCTCTTTTCCCTGTGGCTGCTTCCACACCTCTCCTGTGTCCCCAGGCCAGAATCCCTTTAGGAACCGTGCCACAGGGTTAACTCCTATCACCTCCCCTTTCCTGGCCCTCAGCGCGCCACCTGTTCTGCCTGGGTTCTGACCCCAGGTAAGGCATAAACATCCCCCGTGATAAGTAGCCCCACAAGTGGCCATGCCGTCATGGAAGCTCTCTGCTCTCTCCACCACCTGCTCCGCGAGAGAAAGGAGAGCAGGTGGAGGGGCTTCTACCCCTCCAGAGTCATCCATCCTAAGTAATTAGCTGCCACAGACAACGCGCACCTGCCAATGGGAACGGCGCTTTCTCCTCCCCACCAGCCTTGCAAACCCCCCCTGCCCAAGGCCTGCCTCTTGGGGCTACTGGGGGATGCACGGAGGCTGGGAAACCATCTGCCAGGGCACAGGGCCGTTCACAGATCAAAAGCCAAGACGATTCTTTCAAGACTGGCACTGTCAGGCCCTGCCATGCCAATGCATATCTTCCCGGGAGAGCCCCTCAGCAGTCCTCCCTTCACAGGGGAGGGCGAGTGTGCCTCACAGGTGCCACTGGTCCCCTGCCCCGTGTCATTCTTACCTGAAGCTGTTCATGTTGACACTTGGTGGCTCACCGATGCAGGGGTGCATGGGGGAAGCCAGATGTTTCTTTGTTCTTATGAGAAACTCCCAAAGAGAGATACTGCCATCTCTGGGTACTGAGGAGTCTGGATGTTAACCTTAGAGACACAGAATTCATTGTGGCCGTGGAAGAGAGCTAGACTAAGGGCAGGGCTGACACGCCAACAGGTACAGAAAAGACAGGGAAAGCACTGAGGTCGCCAGACCCCTGGAGGTGCTCCTCTAGAGTCCCCGGAGTATGACACGACACGAGGAAGATCATTGTGCACTCTGAGCTGGGCTGGCTGCCAAAGGCATCTGGATGCTATGAAAGCAAAGCCGCAGACCTTACACATAGGGTCCAGACCCCGTGTGACCCCTGGTCTGGGCTGTCCCCAAGGGCTCTATCATCTGCCTGCATAGTGCTCTCTCCACAGAAGCTAATACGGATTCCTCCGTCACCTGCCTGCCTAGGACTAGCCTCTGGCCTGACCTAAGGTCACACACTCTGGTGCAAGCTTGTCTCCCTAGCTACTCGGTGGGGAGGCTGGGGCTGGAAGATCCATTGAGACCAGTACCTTGTCACTTCCAGACGTGTCTGCGATGCCAGCTGTCCTTACTACAACCTGGAGGAGTACTTCCTTCCTTCCTTCCTTCCTTCCTTCCTTCCTTCCTTCCTTCCTTCCTTCCTATTTTTTGTATGTTCTTAAAAATATTTAGTTAGGCCGGGCGGTGGTGGCGCACACCTTTCATCCCAGCACTCGGGAGGCAGAGGCAGGCGGATCTCTGTGAGTTTGAGGCCAGCCTGGTCTACAAGAGCTAGTTCCAGGACAGCCTCCAAAGCCACAGAGAAACCCTGCCTCGAAAAACCAAAAAGAAATATTTAGTTAGTATACAAAATATTTGATTTCATTATGATTTGTTCATGCATATACATCATGCATTTAACTCATATTTTCCCCTCCATGACTTTCCCCTTCCCCTGCTCTTTCCTCCCATTGGTACTGCAGTGCTGGGGGCCATTCTTATTCTTCATGGTTAGGTATCACCTGAGGTCTTCTGCCTGCCACACAAACAAGCGTGTAACATTCTAGATCACACCACACACACACACACACACACACACACACACACGCAAACACATGCACGCGCGCATGCCACACACACACCCCACACACATACACACCACACACACATACACACCCCACACACATACACATCACACACACACAGCCCTCCATCCCTGACTCCAGGCCCTCCCCAGCTCAGGCCCATGAGCACTCAGTGGCATTCTGTGCAGCGGCTTTTTCCAAGTTTCTCAGGTCGCATTAGCCATGCCCCTTTTCACTCTGTATCTGTCAAGAAACCCTTGAGAGAGCTGAAGGGCACGGTTTGGCCCTGCTTACAGGCAGGCTGTGCAAACGGAAAGTCACACAACATGTTTCAGGTGCACTGGGTAACAAACAGAGCCATGTTCACCGAGCCCTAAACCACATCAATAACAACAGACCCATCCAAGGCAGACTCAGAAGTCTTCCATGGAAACAAGGATTTAGACCTCACTGCTGCCTCTGCTGGGCCAAGCACCAACCACGAGCTCACAGCAATGTCTGCTGGGGACAAAGCGGGAGAGTCTTCTCATCTGTCAGGGTGGCCCAGGTTGCAGCTGAACCCCCGAAGAAAGGACAGAGATCCTCTTCAGTCAGAGTAAGGAGGGGCTGAGAGACTACTCTTTGGTTAAGGGCACTTGCTGCTCTTGCAGAGGACCGGGTTCGGTTCCTAGAAGCC